TAAATATCCTGATTTAAAAAAAAAAATGTTTGTTGACTATAGATAACAATGATGAAAGGAGTGAAGTTACTCTTATATGTCCAGAATTCAAGTTTAAATTGAAGTAATCCTATCAAGGGGTGAAAAAAAAAATTGGAAAAAGAGGAGGGGAAAATGCCCCATAGAAATTCTCAGCCAAATGCTTTTTCCAAGCCATACGATGGCTGGTATCTACTCTGTGGGGCTCTAGTGCTGTAGTGCATACTTACCTTCACTTCCCGAGAACTCCTGCAGTGTCAGTGGACATGCTGAGCACAGAGTGAAAACAGGCTGTGCAGAAATTATCTGCTGCATAGATCAGAGAGGAAGGGGCTGCTTAAACATGTCATCAGAGTAGCAAGGACTAGTCTAGAAGCGTGAAAAAGAATGCCAGTAATTCATGTGCTAGAAAGGGTGCAATTTTACCTCCAAATCAGGGAGGGTAGGTAAGAGGCTATTGTTTGCCACGAAAGTTCTGTGATTTCAGTATTGATAATGATTTTTAAATCTTACTAAAGATCCCTATTTTCTAGATAAAATGTCAGCAAATAATAAAAGAGTGCACCTCTTCTTTTTGTTATGCTTCTCAGAAAGGCTTTAGCCTAGACCTTTTTCTTGCTTTTTAGGTGCAAAATCTGGTACACTGTTTACATTTTCAAGAGTGCTTCCACCCGCCAAAAAAGAGCCTCATACCTGGGAATCTCACAGTTTGAAGGGTAGACAAAGAAGACAAGGTGGTTTGGCAGATACTTGGGAAGTTGTTAAATTAGGAAGGTTTCTGAAATCAAGGAAAAATAATAACTGATTTTTTTTCTTTTATAATTTTCAACAGACGTATTTATTGAGAAATAATTGCTCTTTTATTTGTAGTGAGATTTAAAGGTCATGAAAACTGTTTCCTTTTTAAATAGAATAGAGGCACTTGAATGCTACTAATGCTATAACCTACAGTTATCCAATTATACGTTTCATTGAGGAATTGGCTGGAATCCAGGTGCAGTAGTTAGAATAAAAGGCTCCCTGTCATTTAAGTCTATGTGAAATAGTTCACTGCTTGCAGTTGCATCTGTGGTATCTTGTCTACTATACTTTACAAACACCCAGCAAACTGGGATACTCACAAGTGTGTATTAATCTTGAGAGTGCTAAAATGCATGGATAGTTTTGATTTATAGGCAGTTATTCTGTATTTGGAGCTTCCCCCTCCCCACACACTTAAAATTTGCAATCTTCTTGTGGAAATTATTTTCCTATTGTTTCCTTTGTGTATTTGGTATGCATACTTTTGGTGGGAAGGGTTTTTCCAGAGGCATTCTACTCTAATTTTACAATAACACTAAAATGGTCTCTCCATACGCATTTTGGGAGTGGAGTCATCAAGGGAGACTGGCACAATATCTAAGCAGCACTCAGTTTAGCTCTTGTATGTATTGCCTAGACTAGCAGTTGAAAGCAGTTGAAAGATCAAAGATGGCTGGGCTTTATGGGCTTTGTCTAAATTTGAAAATCCAAGTTTCTCTGTGATACTTGTCTGTGGATTTCCTGTGGAAGATTTTATCTTTAAGACTTTTTCTTGCCAAACGCTTTTCTCTAATGAGTTCTCTTCCTCTTGTCATAACTCTGTTTAAATATTTGTACAACTTTGGGCACCCGTTTCTGTCTCTTGGAAAAGACAAGAAATAAGAGCTAGAACTCCCTTTGTGGGTACATGGGAGATGTTCTCTTCTATTCTCTTGGCAATGCTTTCCAAAATGAATTTATGTTGAAAAATCAGTCAATTACCATACTACAGACTTCACTATAAAATCATGACAAGATCAGTAAAAAGTCCACTGTTGTCATTAAGATGCAGATTTTGCTACAGTTATTTTAGCCTTTATCTCCATAGGTTGTTGAAATCTGCAAGTTAAAGTACTACACCTCCTGAACATAGCTTTGATGCAGATGACTACTTGAAGGCTTCAGCTACTGTAGTTGCATGGGCTCTGAGAAGAGCGTACTGTGGTAAGAAAACATCGCACTCTCTGCAATAGATTGAATCTCAAAGATTATTTATGAAGAAAGGTTGGCCAAGCGCCCAGTAACACTAGAAGCAGCATGTATTAGTTGGTACACTTACATGCCCCACTGATGAGTCTGCAGGGAGCTGGGAACAGCGTTATTTCCCGCAGGCTTCACCTATTGAGGTTTTGCCTGGTGAAGTGTGGCCATTTTCCATGCTCTTCCTGCTTAGTTTTTCCTTGACAGTTGTTTCTTTGGGCAAGTACAGGCCTAACCTACCTCAACTATAGCTCTTTCTTGTGTCTTAATTTACACTCCCCAAGAAACAAGTGGGTGGACTTAACCTATAAGCTACTTACATGCATGCAGTAAATTACCATGAAAGTTTGGCTTGGGCTCAGACAAGGTCATTGGAGCAGGCTGCCAAGGTTATCTTCTCCCACATTAGCAGCTTCAGAACTACATATATCTATACATAGGTACATCTGTTCATACAACTGATTGCCTTTCTAAATCCAGAGTAACAGTTTCTTCCTGCAAGCACAGTAAAGAGACTTCTACAGGTGGGGAGCTTTCTTCGTTTGTAGTTCTCCGTGTGCTCGGTGCCTCTGGGAAGCAAGAAGAGAGTTTGAGACCAGAACTGCAGGACATTTGGTACAGCAGGCCCAGAGAAGATCAGAGAGGTTACATTGACAGTGCACTCCCATGTCTCATTCCAGAGAAGTTAACTGTTGAGGGAAAAAATTCAGCAACCACTTGTACTTTGGAAGCAACAGGTCAAGATTTTTGTCTTTCTTTCTCCTTGTTCCCAGTACGATAAAATCAAATAGTTGAGGCTGTCCTCAACAGCTTAGTGACAGAAAAATAGGGAAAATGTCATAGAACAGGGCTCTTCAATATCAGGAAGATTAAAGATGGTTTTTGTATATCTACAGGATCCCCTAAATACACTTCTTATATGGGTATCTAGCACTCCTAATGTGTCATTTGGCTTTGCTAAAAGGCTCATAGGACGAACTGCTGCTGCAGGTAAACACTGAGCAACTACTATTAACTATTATTTTTATCAAGTTCCAGCAGTTGTCACAGTGCCACACCATCAGCTTTTTGATCACATCAGCAGTCCCAGTCTAGAAGATATGTTAACAGCTATTCATGTGCCCCTGCAGATAGCCATCATGGTGCCTCTCTTCCCATGAAAAGGAAATAGGGGGTAAGCCTGACTGGGGATGATCGAAATCCCTCAAAGAGCATTTTGCCTTGTGGCTGCATCATGGGCAGCATTGCTGTGTCTGCAGTTACAGAAGCCTTGAAGGAAGCCACCACCCCATGCCACCTAAAAGGTTAGGTGCATCCCTTCATCATAGTTTTAATGTAAAGATGGTAGAGACGGCATAACAACATACTGCTGGGGAGAATCACTGATATTACAAAACATCAATGGCTCAAAGGTGTAAATATAAATGTCATTGTTGGTTTATTGTTCTTTGTACGTAAGAAGCTTTATTGTACAACTTATACAACTTGAAAATGGAAAATGGTTAAAAATGTTTACAAAAAAAAGCATGTTCTTAGAAAATTATGCTAGCAAAAAAATTGGGAGGAGGGAAGCAAAAAAATCTTCAGTTCAGTGTGCAAACAATTTATAAAAATAGAAATACTAACTCTACAGGTAGCATTTCATGATAAATTATTTAAATAGCCTATCTACACAATTATGTGATTAACTATTACAATGGCAATGAGAAAAATAATTTATAAAAATACAAGCAATGGTATACAAGATGACAGGAAAAAATATAACACAACATTAGAAACTGTATCTGACTTTTTTTTTCCAATGCCATTTCCTTACTGAGAATACATTTTCTGCAAAGAAATTTTGACTATGTACAGCATTAACTTTTTAGTACTACAGTAGCTTTAAAGTTTATTAGACATTTGAACTCTGTTTTATCCAAAGGTTTTTCTCAGTCACACAACAATGAGGTAATATTTGTACGTAAAAAACTTTCACTGTGTTCATTTTTTCCTTTTTTGAAAAGACAAGGAAATAATAGGTATAAGGATGCTGCCCCTTCTGTTGGGGAAAATCAGTCTTCCATTAATGAAAAATCAAGCCCTCTCCCTCTTTTGCAAGGAGCTCCTGAAATTGTGTCTAGTCTGTGAAGAATTCCTTCTTTTGTTGCCACACATCACTAGTTACAAGAATGAGTGTGCAGTGGCACAAACAGCTGGTTTGAATGTTTACAGTGTGTGGTCATTGTGCCTCTCTGCAATCTCCTTAAGGCAGGTATTCTGGTTTTGTATCAGGCCCACTGACCAGTGGTAAAGCACTGCAGACATTTTCCAGCACTAAACCAGTAAGATTGTGAATGTTGTTCCCTTATCTCTAGAGCTAGGGATGGGACAGGAACTGCTACCATCCCAAGGGACTTGAGTTTTCGCACTGCAGAACAGTTGCCTGCCAGGCTACCAACTGCCTTGCATAAAGGAAGTAAAAGCCAACATGGAGCTCAGACCGAGAAGAAAAAACAAACAAACAAACAAACAAAAAACAACAACCCACAAAAAAAACCAAACAACCAACATCCCATCCGCCACCCCACCACTTCTCCCTGCACCTCAAGGCTTTTATAGGAAAACTGGTCTTTGTAACAAATACATCAGCACTACCTGCTCCAAACAAGATGATTTTTTTTTTCTCATCTAAACCCTCTCTAGTTTCCATATAGAACAGAGTTAATAAATAATCCATATTTACAATCTAACAGTCATGAAGACTTGTAACAATGATTAGGTGGATAGTCTTGACGCAGTTCTTGTTGCTTTAATCAATAATCCCTCAGTCATTATAACATCAAGGATAGGTAAAAATAAATATTTTACAATTTCAGTATTTTATCTATAGGCCCCTTCCCCTCCAAAGTGAGAGGTTTAAAGCATCTATGGCATGTAGAAAAGGAATGTTTTCATTACTATTATATTTGTGCCTTTTTAACCATAAAAAGCAGAGCACCTGCTGGTTTCCTGAAGGACAGCAAAGTGCTAGCTGAGATGGTGGTGCTTTTTGGCACCATATCTGAAAGAAAACATTTAAAAAGGTAAGAAAAGATCTGCATCTAAATCAGGAAAAAAACCCGAATCTAATTGTAAATCCCACTTCTCCCAAAGCTGGTATGATCCAGTGTGCCAGTTTTTATCCTCTTTTCTCCCCTCCCACCGCAGAAATCAGTTTTAGGGTATCTGCTTTGTCCGGTGTAATACAGCAGTGATCTAGCTCACCACAAATGGACCAAAAGGCTGTGTTTTCAGCTGAAAGATATGACATAAAACTATAATAATTTCTCCAAGGTAAATGGATGTAAACCAAAGCAGTGCAGCCCTCATTACAAAAATTCCTCTCCTCCATAAAGAATAAAAAGTCTTGGAGTTCTCCCTCCCACCCAAAATCCCTTTTCCCCACACAATGAAAGGTCTTCAGTTTAAGTAGTCCAGAGCACATCCAAAGATGTTCTTTTTACAAAATGCTACTCCATGGGACCTCCAGTTAGAGAGGCAGTGACACTGCACTGTGATAAACAGCAAACAAATGTCTTTCCTACTGAAAGAAGTGTGCTTGTTCAGTGAAGACAATTCTCATTTGCAAGACACATTTGTTTCCTTCCACTTCAGCAGAGGTCAGATACCAAGTATGTTCACTTTCATGCTCTCAAAAGCATTCTCTTGAGGCAGGTCATGTATTTCGAGTCCACATTTACACAGAAAGAAGAAAGGAAGGAATAATATAATGGTCCCAGGATTTGTAAGGCTAAACATTTCAGAAGGTGCAATACCAGCATTTTTAAATAGTCTCTGGATCCAGTAACGCTGTGACTATGGATCTGTGGAAAAAAAAAAAAAAAGGAAAAAAAAAAAAAAAAAAAAAAAGATATTTAAATATTTCTGTGTATTATGCATGATTATGTCCAACACATCAATCCCTACAGACATTTGTAAAAAATACATTGGTAAAGACAGCTGAAAGTGCTTAGGTACTTTCTGGCAGTAGACTTCAGAATCTAGTCTATGTAACCATGTCACCATGACATAATGAAGTCATAATTTAAGAAGACTAGAGCACCTAGAACTAGTCATATACCTCCACTATATTGCATTCCTACAGTTCATGGACAACCATCTACTTTGGTTACTTTCAAGTAAATCAGTTTTTTGCATGTCAGACACTACTCTCTTGCTTGCTAAAATCAGCATTTTGCATTTTCACTTTGGACCATCAGCTGTGCTGATTCATTCCAGATTCATTTTGAAGTATTTTCAAGATATAAAATATATCTGGAACTCAACACTGAAATACATTGAAATAACAATAGAAATGTATTCAGGCTTTTTTACGTTTAAACTTTTGACTGTGAAGAGTTTCAGGAAGGTGTCCTGTTTCTGCCTGCAGAACTTGCTTGAGATTGACCCGTAAAAGATCATGGGTGAACCTTCCCTCTTAGCTCTTATTTTTTGTTTTATTTTTATTGAACCATTTATACAGACTTCTTAAATACAATGTCTTTCGTACCTCTGCATTCGTATTTAAGGTCTGAGAAGAACACCATTTCTTGAGAGAAGACAAATAATCCTAGCCGACCACCAGCATAGGTTTTATCATAAATTGGTCCCGAGTCTGCCATGATTTTCTTCCCTTCATACATTACAACCCTACAAAGAGATAATAGGTCAGCCATCTTTGACAAGCTTCTGTTAAGTTCGTCTTTACAGACATCCACTTTCCTTGTGATAATTACTTCAGATAAAAGGATGATGCTCACCTGATGTAACCAGTCTTTGGTCTATGGCTAAGACGCCATCTGTATGCAGTGAAGTCTTTCCAGCCTATGTGACGAGGGTCATGCCACAAAGTTCTCACCTACAAAAGAATATTTCTTTATTAACCAAAGGCCTGAGATAACATAGCCATTCTTTTGAAATTGACTGCATTTGAATTTACTTTTAAATATATAAGTAGAAAACTACTCCACAATTCCAGAAACAGTGATCTGCTGTGCTGAAAAGCCTGTCCCCAGTATGCAGTCCTGTTAATTTTAGATAGTATTTTGCAAGATTTGGGATAGTTAGTTATCAGTCTTCACCAAGACCACCATGCTGTGCTGATCAGCATGTACAGTGTCTACCTTGTTGGAAGAACAGCCTGCCTTACAGTGTAGAAGAGTAGGTTATCAGAGTGCCACTCTTACCTGGCCAGGAGTGTTTCCTGTGTGCCACAGAGCATTACGAAGGTGTTCTCCTGGACCAGTGGTGGAATTCACAACTTTGATGGAGAGACCCGAGTAGCCTTGAGCTTTGGTTGGTGTGGAGTCCCAGTAAGACTGGGTGATCTGCTTCCACATGACAACATAGAAACGACTGCTAGATTGGTAGCCAAATACAAAGCCAGCATAATCATCATCCCTTTCTGTATTGATGAAGAAGGTGCCACTGAAGTCCACAGCATTGAATTCATCAAAACCTATGGAGCATTAAAGGAGAAATGTTTAGATGCCACTCATTGGTGATTCTTAAACAACTCCTTAATATCACAGGTTCTCTTCCTCTCCCTACCCCCAACCCAAAAACCAAAGTAATGTCTTGGTGTAATGCGAGTTAAAGTTTTCCCCTTACCAACTGCAAGGCCAGGGTCACAGTTGACTGTCTGAACCAGTTCTTTACCCTGGTGACGAACAACCCAGTTTGGATCATTTTGGGATGTTCCTTTGGGATCCAGGGGAATCATCTGAAATTTTCGGAAATCAGTTTCACTAATGTCCACGTTTTCAGGGCAGATATCATCAATGTCTGGCACACTGTCTTGATCAAAGTCATCTTTGCAAGCATCTCCACGTCCATCACCTGCAGGACACAAGTAATTTACCATTATATCACTATTGTTGTTTGCTTCCAAGTCATACAAGTTGGAGTTGTAATCTTAATTGCAGATCTCTGACTGCCCATGTACTACTGGCAGACACAATACAGATGCCACAATAGCTGCTGTATAAATGCCCTTTCACTCCAGCCTGATAGCGCTTTAGGAGTAAGTTGGGTACATACTGATTTTTACATTGCTTGTTACTCCTGAGGAGTGCTATAACAACAATACAGACATTCTATCTTTTTGTTACTTGAAAGTTTTGTCCAACCCTAAATAGTTTAGAAATAAACAAATAAAACACAACACCAAAAAACAAACAAACCACACAAAACAACAAGAACCCACCCCTCCAAAAAAAACAGAACAAAACACAACCCCCCCCAACACAAAAAAAAACCCCAACAAAACAAACCCCCAAAAAAACAAAACCAAACAAACAAAACCAAACACCAAATCACAAAATAAAAATAAAACAAAATCCCATGCATCAAAACTAGTGGAAGATACTTTTAAAATGTTATTATGATACTGGCCAACTTACCATCAGAGTCAGCTTGATCTGGGTTGGCAACCAATCTGCAGTTATCTTTGTCATCAGGGATACCATCATTGTCATCATCATGGTCACAGGCATCACCTTTTCCATCCTTGTCATGGTCAGCTTGATTGGCATTGGGCACATAGGGGCAGTTATCAAGATTATTTTGATGGCCATCTTCATCTATGTCTTGGTTGTTGTCACACTCATCACCTATGCGGTCAGAATCAGCGTCTTCCTAAGAAAGGGAGAAAATAAAGAACACTTAATAAAAATCCACTTTGAAAAGACTGAAATAGGAGTCCTAACAGCTAGAATTAATTAAGATTTCTGCTTGCTTTAGCAAGAGCAAAGATGGATGTAGTGAAATATTAGGATTAATACACACTTACTTCAAGCTGCCTGTGCTAACTGCTTTCAGGCTGCTTTGGTGTTGCCCTGGTTTTAATTTGAAGCCACAACAGCAGAAAGCAGTGTGGTCATCTGATTCTCCTCTCTTCTGAAACATGACTATGACTAGTGTACCATATCAGACACAGGGTACTTCACCTCCTACCATCTCTGGCAACTCCCTGGTTCCAAGGACCAGATAAGGTCAGACTACTCTGTACCTAGCCAGTAAAGACAGTAAAACATAGTCCACCAAGTCTTTGTTTTACAGGTTCCACACCATATCATAAAAGCCTATAATGCTCTTAATGTCCCACGACTCCTCAGTCAGGACAATTTTTCCCTTGGTGATCAAGGACTGCATGAACTGCTGTGCTTGCTGATCATGTATTTTAGCCAGTCATTTCTTATTTCAGAAGCTGAGTAAGGAAAAAAAAAAAAAACACCAAAAAAACCCAAAAAAAAGTAAACCACCAACCAAACAACAAAAAAAACCCAAAACAACAAACACCAAAAAACCCAAACCCACCCACCCACCCCCCCTAAAAAAAAAACACACCAACCAAAAAAACCCCAACAAACCATTCCAGTTATCCCTGAGGCTGCCTCAAGGTTTAGTCTAGTAGTCAACACTGGTGAGTGCCCCTGGGGCTGGTGTAGACAGAAGGCATACTGCACAGTTTGAATAACTACTAATTCTGCTGTTTGAAATCTAGTATCTCCACTTCTAAAACTTCATTAGAGAGGTGTACATGGGGGGGAACCCCAAACAAACAAACAAAACAACCCAAAACCCCACCACCATAAAAAAAAACCCAACCAAAAAACCCTGCCAAACCAAAAACAAGCCACTGCAGTCATCTCTTAAGATTTCAAAGTGTCAAGAGAAACATTGTCTGAAAGGATCTTCAGGCACTTTCCACCCTTAGGAAGGGAAATAGTAAAGCAAGCAAGAAAGACTAAGAAATTTTATAGTATCTGTTTAAATCTTTCAAGTAACTCTGCTTTTAGGCTATACTTCCCACCAATTTGCAATACCTTTTCTAACCCTACAAACATTCCAGATATGTCCCTGAAGCTATTAAACTACAGCCTTTTATATGACAGGACGGCACAGGCTTTATCTACTTCTGCCTCAAACATTTTTGAACCACTGAGTTGTGCGAGAGGCTGGGCCCCCATAGACTTTTATGAAGTGGAATTCAGAATATGCTTTTTCCTTAGAGAAAAGCACTTGTGCTGCCTTCACCTTACTGGTAGAAAAGGTGTATCTTTTGAAATGCAGCTGTTTCAAACTTAAGAACAAAGATTAAAGAGCAACTTTGCATCTATGTGAAAACAGCTCTTCAGGCAATGAAGCATGTAGTTCCTACCTACCCAGATTTCATACAATGCTCCCAGGAATTTCACATCCTCACTATGAGGATTGCCACAACTGACAAGCCTCAGAGATGTTTAGGAGATGGGTACATGTGAGTCTCAACAGATCTTCACTAGAGTTACTTTCCAGGAAACACCTAGCAGCTGTTTGAATGGTGAAGGCGTATTATTTGATAAAGGCACCATTTGGCAAATTAATAAGAATGATTTGGGACATGTCAAATTTAAGCTGCCACTTGTTCACATACTTTCTACAATGCAAAACATACTATCTTTTTAATAATACCAGCCTTCTATTTATATAATTCAAATCCCCTACCTGGTCAGGATTGTGTTCCAGTGGACAGTTATCACACTGATCTCCAACACCATCAAGATCTGTATCCCTCTGGTCTACATTGTAGACATATTGGCAGTTGTCCCTTTCATTAAGGACCCCTGCAAAATTAAGAAGAGTTCATGAATGAAAGTCAGACAGCTCTGTGCTGCAGAGGACTGCACAAGGACTTCACACTCCTGATATTTTTTTGAAAGCATTTTGAGCAGCATTTAAAAGCTTTGAAACTTAACTCATCACTAGCTCTGCCACACACTTCTGTTCCTACTGTCTGCAAGAGCAGAGCCAGAGTTCAACTGTGCCAAAATGTGTATATTTCAAGATGAATTTGCATTAACTGCATTAACTATAACTGCTACTTCAGTAGTCCTGAAGCCACCAGGGGAGAACTTTCATGTGGTCATGGATGAAATTTTGTTAGGAAATCAATGGTACATTGAGTACATTTAATCAATCTGTGATTAGAAAACCTAAAAAGGAGTGATTAGAGGCTACCTACCATCTCCATCAATATCCACTGCACATGCATCTCCTTCTCCATTGTTGTCAGTGTCAGTTTGATCAGGATTGTGATTGTAGGGGCAGTTATCACAGCCGTCACCAACATCATCCCTGTCATAGTCATACTGCTGTGGGTTGTAGATGAATGGACAGTTGTCCTGCAAAAGCAAGAAAGAAGTCAGCCTTTAAAGAGAGATAAAGCTTTAACCAGATTCTGCTTATGCTTGTATCACTATATGAAAGGAGAAGTGAAAGGCAGGGAAACAGTTAAAACTGGAATGCTTCTATCTCAGAACACCCCATTACTTCTCTGATAATAGGATTGGCTGAGTAAAAAAAAAAAAAAAACAAAAAAAACCTAACAAAAAAACCAAACAAAAATAAACAACCCCCCTCTACATTAATAAAAAAAAAAAAAAAAAAAAAAAGATTCACTTCCAAACCTCAACCAGCTGCAAAAAGTTTGTCTGCATAGTTAGGCATATGAACAGTCAGTGCCAGCAATTTCCTATGGTCCTCTCAAGAATAAGGTTGGAATCTAGACCCCAGCTTAGAAGGAAGGGGAATAGGAAAGCTACATTCTCAAAGGCTCATCTTTTGTGTTGTCTTACCCGGTCGTCAGGGATGCCATCGTCATCATCATCATTGTCACAGGCATCACCAATCCCATCCTTATCATAGTCTTCCTGCCCAGAGTTGGGCAGATTAGGGCAGTTATCCTAGAAGGAAGAAGTATACAGATGTGGTTACTCCTAGCATGATTACAATAGGGATTTTAGCAGGTAAGATCTAATCATTAGGCAAAATCATAATACCTCAGTCAAGTAACTTACCTTACTGTAATTGTCTCAGACTTACCGTCACAGTAATGACTAGCTAAAATTTAGAGGGCCATAGTTCAATCACTTTTAAAACAAATGATTTAGCTGCTTTTCAGAATATTACCCTTTTTTATTCCTCTGAAGGTATCTGTCAGAGCACAGCCAATATAGGCACAGACTAAGCTAGAGTTTTCCTAGAACATTCATAGTGTTGCCAGGCTTCATTTTTCCCCTACATTGCAAGGACATCTAAAGCAAGAGCCAGAGTCTCCTAGCAGTAACTTGATAGAGAGGACAGTTTAATAGCTCAAACTAGACAGAGACTTGCTTTACACCTCAAACATAACATGTTTTGTATATTTCTCAGATAAGCTGTTATAACAGTAGATGGGAAAACAGGATAAACTTACTTTTTTACAGTGGTAAGTGGCATTGGCAACACAAACAAGGTTCTCATTTGGCCATCCATCCAAGTCAGTATCTTCTCCACAGATTATACCATTGCCAGCATAGCCTGGTTTACATTCACAGCGATACATGGGGTCACTGAAGTGGCCGAGGTAATTGCATTTGGCATTCTTGTTGCAGTCATGTGTTCCATCTGTACACGGATTACGTGGCTTGCAGACCTAGAAGACCACAGAGAAATTAAATCCACTGGAAACATCTTTCTATCCCTAATTTTCCCCCAGAGATTCAAATGAAACATGGACAGTATATGCTTATTTTGATCAGAAATCCTTCAATCAGGAAGGAAAAGGCCTCATACATCACATTCTTCCACTCCCCAACTCCAGCAGCAGTCTTAGCACTAATCATTATTTTTCCTGTTCAGACCTTATTCATTTTCAACTGGAACTAAGCACTACAAAAATCTCTCAGCCACTTAAAATGCATTTTGAACTCAAACTGCTCAATGTTCTTCCTGTTCTGAATCAGAGCATGGTGGTTTACTAGATGTGCCAAGTCCTTCTTTCCTAAAATTTAGGTGCTTTCTGTGGTTCAGAAACTTTGTGAGATTTCATAACCCAGAATAGCTCTCAAGTTGACAATACCTGTTTGTTAGCCATGGCATCCTCAACACTGCGACCGAATGGCTGTGTCCCAGTGAAACGTGGCGGACAAGGAAGACAGTTATACCCAGGTTCAGTATTCTCACACCTATGCACACCATTAAAGACAAAGCAGGCATCAGGAACCTCTTTGCACTGAAATACAAGTTTGAGATAGAGGAAAACAATGGTTAGCATTATAAGCCACTGTGATTTTATCCCCCCTTCCCATCTTCTTTCACTTCCTTTCAAAGTGAAAACTCTAGTCTCCCTACCTCATCAATGTCTTGGCAGTGGATACCATCACCATGGTAGCCAGGAGGACAGGCACCACACTTCCAGGAGCCATCAGGGGAGCTGGTACATGTAGTCCCCGCAAAGCAGGGATTAGACAAACACCCATCTGAGAAACAAATGAGAAATTGTTAGGATGAGGGACATTTGCCATGCTGCTATAGTACCGTATTTGGCCGATATGCTGGTTTAAAATTCTAGCACTTGTGTTTTAGACTTACATCAAAATTTTAAATCAGTATTTCCAAGATTGTATACAATCTTCAGATGTTTATGGGAAAATGAATACTCACCAATTGGACAGTCCTGTTTGTTGCAGACCTGAGTCCCTCTAGCTTCACCAACGCAAGTCTTCCCACCATACTGAGGCTCAGGATTATTGCAGAGACGGCTACGTTTTTGAAGTCCTCCTCCACATGTCACTGTGCAAGCATCCCACGGAGACCATGGTCCCCAGTTGCCATTAACTAAAGGAAGATAAAAGTTAAGACATGTATAGCTTTAGATTCGGTGGTGCAACTAATTTCTTCTTGACTAAGGACTATTACTTTTATCGTGAGAACACTTCAGACATAAGTGACAGAATTAATGGGCTCCACTGAAGAGCCATAGAAGACAGTTTCATGTAAACAGTTCAGTTTCACCTGAAACTAACCTGTGAGGTTTTACCTAGCCCATCCCAAAGTTTAAAGGGAGAATATTACTAGAGCTAGATTAGATAGTAACTACTCAGGATGTTCACCAGTTAAGCTACCAAATAGTAGCTACCACCTGGGTGCACTTACTTGGGCAAGGATCTTTCTGGCAGGGTTTGTTTTCTCTTGCCTCACCCTCACAAGGTTTGCCATTCAGCTGTGGTACCGGTGAGTTGCAGAGACGAATTCTAGTGATGATGCCCGTGCCACAAGTGACAGAACATGATGACCATGGTGACCAGTGACTCCAGCCACCATCCTGTTTAACTGCAAGAGAGAGAGATGTTATTAAAAGTTTCTGAAGAACAGACTTCAGCTGCACACCTTGGACACAGCCAGTACCAGAACTGTACCAAGGTCTCCACATATATTGGACAACCTCAGCACTATCACAGATCAAGTTGTTTTGTCACTAGGGAAACTGCTTACCTAAACTGCCTCAAGTTTTGCCCTGGGAGCAATGCCCAAACATGCCTATTTACCACATTACGTATCTGGTCCCCTTTACCTGATTAATTTAGATCCTTAAAGCTAGAAGCCATTGCTCCTTCCTAGTGACAGGGCTACATGGTAATCTTTGCTGTTAACATTAAGCCAATAAAAGCAGCTTCCATTTTATTAGCAGTGTGAGTAGATCAAGTACTTACATCTCTTATCGCACTCCTGAAGGTGGCAAGTCCGAGTCTGTACAGAAGACCCTTCACAGCGGTTATTGAGACTGTCACAGGATCGTCCTCTCTGCTGAATCCCATTCCCACAGGTCACAGAACACGAAGTCCATTCAGACCAAGGAGACCACCCATCATCTGCATAGTCGCTAGCTGCAGAGAGATACAGCTCTGAATAAAACTGCAGTTATACATTTTTCTATAGGCTCTTCTCCCACTCTTCACAAATAAAAGGACACAACTGTCCTCAAAAGCCACAGGCATCTTCCTTCCTTGTACAAGATAAAGGCCAAGAACTCGAACATTTCAGCGCTCACATGCATTACCTGAATGATTAGCCTCAGAGAGGCATCAGCCTAACCCTACTCCAGTGGTGCAAGGTTATACCCAGTTGCGCATTTTAAAGCGGCATGAGTCTCCCTAGATAAAGCCAACTGCAATACAAGTGCAAAAGCATGAAGTACTTACGCCAGCATCGAGGGCAGCACTCCCCATCAGGCACAGTGGCATTGGAACAAGGCATGAGAGGACAGGACACTTTCCGGCATATAGTTGCAGAGTTCTACAAAGAATTGTGAGAACTGCAATAAGTGGAATACAAATTATGTCAGCAGCACTTCAAAACTCAATAGCACATCTAAAGTCGAGACCCTTGTATTTTGAGCTAATACAACAGTCCAACGTCATCTCACTTCCATTCTCACACATTTTTCAGTCATGAGGAGAAGTATTTTGGTTTTTCGGAAGTTGATCAAGAGTAGCTACTAGATGCTGGCTAGAGTAAAAGACTATCATGTGATACCTCAAGGTCAGACTTCAAGAGAATGAAACAAGAAGCCAACTTTCTTTTCAGTTAATATGAATTTAAGCTGATTATATGGTAAAGATAAAACGAGTTTGGTGGACTCTGCTCAAGAGACATGAAATCTGTAACTTATACTTAGAGGTCTTTGATATTTAAGCCAAACAGGCAGGGTAAGAACATACACCTCCAATCTCAGCACGAGCTAAAGGCCAGCCTGTTGTTTTGCTCCTGGAAGCTAGCAGCTTGGCCAGGAGAATGCTCTCATGATTACTATTTCAATCTCCCCAAGCAAATGACCTCATTAAGGCAATTACAGCTAACATCGAGTAACAGGGTTGGTAGGAAAAAGGCAAATGCAGAAGTCAAAGTATCATTTTCTGACTAGAAGACAAAAAAAAAAAAAATAAATGTAGAGATCTGTAGAAGCAGATGCAGAACTTGACGAGACGCCTTGGACTGCATATGTAAAAATACTCAGCCTTTAGTTTCTAAACAGCAGCAGGCTAGTTAGCACACTCTTCGGTAGACTGGTTCTCCACAGTGGGAGCAAGCAAGTTTAAAGAAACTCAGAAAGTGTATGTTTCGGTGTACTTTTACAACATTCCACAGAAGTGGAACTCAAAGCATAAATATGTTGTCAGGCGATCCTGGGATTTGAATAGCTAAACTGAAATCTAGGACTGCTGCTCCATATAATCTGTTACAGTTAATAGGATGCAACTAGAAGCATTTGTTAGATAAAGAAAAAATCCCATAAATTTAAGAGCCTTTACTAAGTATTAGAATGTCTTTTCCTACTAAGCCAGCAGGAGGTTCAGCAAGTACAGAATGTGGATCTAAAGTATTCCAGGCAGCAAAGCTAGTAATACTATAAATGTGTTCTATTGATGCTGACTTTTAGTTTACTTATGGACTTACGTAAAGAATACAGGCATTCCCCAAATTAAGGAATTAAAAGTGTTAAAAGTTGTATCATAGTGGCATTTTGTATAATTTTCTAAAATACTGCTGTTGTAACACTGCATCAAAGCTGCTTTTATACCAGAGATCTAGTGGGGTGAAATCAACCAAATAATTCTTTGGCTACTGCAGTAAGCCAAGAAATCCTGTGCAGGATTCACTTTCTCATAGAGTATCATTTATAAATATCTGTTAATTTCAACTCATGAATTTATATACAGAGGATTTATGCATGTGAGGAATCTCACCTGGCAGGTACATTCTGTGCAGCTGTCAATAGTCCACTCTTCTTTATTTTTGTGCAAGATTCCATTATGAATGCACACTCCAGGCGTGATCTGGACTACTTTGGCAATGAATTCATTTTCTTCAGTCTTGGAGGGGGTGGGAGAGAAAGCAGGAAGAAAAGCAAAGAGAACGTATTTAGAATGCAGAAAACACCCTCTTCCACATAAGTCAGAGGAAAGTTATTACTGTTTATCCAGGCTCTGAAAGGACAGGTTATAATTCATTCACTAAGTGCCAGTTAATGAAAGGTACCATGAATTTAACCAACACCCACCACTTTGCGAACTCTGTCTTGAAGCGTTGTAACCATGGACCGGAGCCCTTGCAGTTCCACAAACATATTTGTTAGTTCATCACAGGAAAAACCACAGACTGCTTGAATGTCCTTTGTTTTATGGCCAATGTAATTAGTGCGGATAGCTGGGCTTGAACCATTGATAGGGTTGTCCAAAGTAATGATCGCGCTAGTGGCTGAGACACAAACACACAAAATAAATGCATTTTTTACCATGTGCATTTATCATTCCAGGGTAACACCTGCTAAACAGCTGCCATCAGATTCACTAGGTTGCCTGCAGAAATATAGTCATATTTCTTATGCAACACGGATTTTGCACATCAGCATACTTCTGAGTTCTGTTTCAACTTGTCTTTCTAATGCAATGAGAAATCTTATTTTTAATAGGTCATTGGATTTGAACGATTGAAAACTTACAGCTGGAGCAGCCTTTGTTCCTCAGGATAGTTTCCAGGGTTGTTCCAAACACAAACCGCACATTCTGCAGCAGTCCCTGTGGACAGAGGAAGAATTACAGCCACTTGCAGCAACTGCATGGTAAAGAAGTACAACTTGCATGGAGAGAGCTTGTAGGCACTTATGGTCACATACGATCATTAGAAGTAATTTCATGACAGACAGATGGCAAAGTGAAACATGTTGCTTTATTCTCCTTAATGATAACAAGCCCTGCTTCCTGACATTCTTACCCTTGACCACAAGGACCTGGCAGCTCTCCAGGCAGGAAGGAAAAACCCCAGGAATTTCTGAATCTCATAAGAAGATTCAGAAGCTGAGCAGTGAAACCACAACTACCTGTTTGGAAGCTTCAGCGCCTTCTTATTGCTGCAGAAAGTTCTATCCCTGCAAACCTAATGCTTTGCCCATCAAACTCCATTACTGAAGTTTAGTAGGTTTAGAGGTGGTCCATATCAGCTGTACACAAAGCAGTCAGAACCCCTTCCCCCTGTTACCCATGTCTTTGTAGCTATTTAGGCTGGTTAAGTAGCTAACGTGCCTCAGGGCAGACATTTGAAAACACAAGGCAAACATCAGTGAAAGCCTTACCTGGAAGTTGTCATTGACTCCCCCTTTGGCAATACGGAGCCTCGCACTGCTGGCCAGGTCCCTAGTGAAGATGTTCTGGATGGGGATGTCCAGTTCTGCATTCTCCATTTTCTCACACCCAACATAGAGCTGAGCTCGGTCCTCCTGCACGAAGAGGGTGATATTCTTCCAGTGTCCTGTAGCTAGTAAGGCATCCTCTACAGACACTATCTGCTGCTTGCCATCACCAGAAAGGCTCAGGTCCAGGGTGCCTGCCTTGCCATTTGATACTAGACTGAAGACATGACCAGAGCCGTCTTTCTGTTCCACAGACAGCAGTGTGCCTCTACTCTTCTTGGCTTGCCGGAGAGTGGCCAGGAGGATGAAGCCCTTCTCAGTGTGGATGGCATCTAGTAAGTCTTGGAACTTTGAGTCAGGGACAGGAGGGATGCGACTGGCATCTTCAATGCGGTAAGCAGGGCTGGAGGATTCCGGTCCCTTCACCAGGTGCACCCCGGGTGCCCGGCGCCCAGCTCCCTTCCGAATTAAGCCAATGAGCTCAAAGAGATCGAAGACACTGTTGTCATCACTCCTGGATTCTGCAGAGATCAGAACAAGATACATGAGCAAGGGACAAGAAGAGGCTGAGTAGATGCTCAGGACCACTTAACATACTGTTAACATATGTGGTGCATATGGTGTGAGATCCAGCACCTCACATCGGAGTACAGACATAGCCCCAGTGGTACAGCAGTCCCATCAGGAGCTGCTGTGCAGCAGTGCATGTGCATTCTTGTACAGGAGCCAGTCAGCACAGGAGTGCCAGGTACCTGCTGACTGACACACAAACATAGCAGCTGTTTTGGCACCTCAGTAGGCTCTGGTGGAAAAGAGGTGACAGCAAAAGCCCAGGCTGCAATGTTGCTGTGTTGGGGCTTGCCTAGCCTGGCTGGGTGACAGCAAGCACAGCAGCGGATCCTCTATGGCACTATGACAGCAATCTACAGCCCCATCCCTCCTTCAGCCAGTTCCTACATCAAGTTCCCCCTTTCCTCTGCCCAGCACAGAGGGGTACAAGCCATGCGCTTGGCTCCTAGAGACTGCATTCTTATTTCTGAAGGTTACACAAATTCCACACTAGAGAAAGTTTCCTGTCCACAACCAGCTAATGATCAAGTCAAAAATTTTTGTTCTTTTGACAGCTTTGTCATTCTTCACCACCGAGAACAATTTCAGCTGCTTACACAGAAACCAAGAAGCGTTTTCTTCCCCCCAACCCACTTCCCTTCCCTGTCTGATCCCAGCGCCAGAGAGGTCTTACCTGCAGTGCGCTTGGCCTCCGAGCCGCCGAGCAGGAGGAGGAAGCAGAGCACAGCTGTTAGCCCCATGGCACAGGGCTCCCTCTGAACAGCCTAGGGACAGCCA